GGGTTTCAAATATTTTAAACTCCTTACTTTAAAATGTGGTGATGACCTTTGGGGTTATGGTAAATAGTGTTGAAAATGGTCAAAAATTGCATTTTTTTCCATTTTGGTTGCTATGACAACCAAAATTGATAATATATGTAAGATTGGAAATAAGTGATTTTAAAAATTCACAAACTTTTTGACATATTCCCATAATTTCACTTGTGTATCTCCATTCTTTCTTACTTTATTAATGTCTCAAAAACACCCCAAAAATAGGCAATAGTGTGCCGCGGAAAATTGTTCAAAAATGAACATATATCCAGCTCTTTAGGGAAGGCATATATATATTTTTACTCTTTTTATACGCCCACATTGAAATGTGGTCGTATATTGTCGTCGCCCCCGTCCGTCCGGCGGTCCGTCCGTCCAGCGTCCACAATTGCTTGTGGACGCTCTAGAGGCTAAAGTTAATATCTGATTGACTTTAAATTTATACACAGTGTTTAAGGTCTTGAGACAAAGAAGCCTATTGATTTTCAGCGATTTCCGATAATTACTGCCAGAGTTATGGCCCTTGATCATGTTGAAAAATCTTGTGGACGCTCTAGAGGCCAAAGTTAATATCCAATTGACCTTAAATTTAAACACAGTGTTTGAGATCATGAGACGAAGAAGCCTATTGATTTTCAACGATTTCCGATAATTACTGCCAGAGTAATTGATCACTTCAAAAAATCTTGTGGACGCTCTAAAGGCCAAAGTTAATATCCGATTGACTTTAAATTTATACAGTGTTTAAGGTCATGAGACGAAGAAGCCTATTGATTTTCAACGATTTCCGATAATTACTGCCAGAGTTATGGCCCTTGATCACTTCAAAAAATCTTGTGGATGCTCTAGAGGCTAAAGTTAACATCCGATTGACATTAAATTTATACACAGTGTTTAAGGTCATAAGATGATGAAGCCTATTGGTTTTCAGCGATTTCTGATAATTACTGCCAAAGTTATGGCCCTTGATCACTTCAAAAAATCTTGTGGATGCTCTAGAAGCGAAAGTTAATATTCGATTGACTTTAAATTTATACACAGTGTTTAAGGTCATGAGACAAAGAAGCCTATTGATTTTCAGCGATTTCCAATATTTGCTGCCAGAGTTATGGCCCTTGATCACTTTGAAAAATCTTGTGGACGCTCTAGAGGCCAAAGTTAAAATCCGATTGACTTTCAATTTATACACAGTGTTTAAGGTCATGAGACGAAGAAGCCTATTGATTTTCAGCGATTTCTGATAATTACTGCCAGAGTTATGGCCCTTGATCACTTCAAAAAATCTTGTGGATGCTCTAGAGGCTAAAGTTAATACTGATTGAGTTTGAATTTATACACAGTGTTTGAGGTCATGAGATTCCTATTGATTTTCAACGATTTCTGATAATTACTGCCAAAGTTATGGCCCTTGATCACTTTGCAAAATCTTGTGATGCTCTAAAGGCTAAAGTTATAATCCGATTGACTTCAGATTGATACACAGAGTTTAAGATCTTGAGACGAACAAGTATATTGATTTTCAATGAATTTTTATGACTTGAACCGTTAAATCCATGATATTAAAAGCTTTGCATACAAAACGTTAACATGGGGCAGAACTTTATAAAAACCAAACAAATTCTAATAGTTTTCTGATAATTACTTTGTGAGTTGTTGCTCTTAATCAGATTTTAGTGTATTATAAATGTTTCATTACCGAAAAAAGTAAAAATATGCGACAACCCTTGTTGACTGCCCGGACGATTTAGTTGCTGTGGGCGTATGTTTCGTTGCCTGGCAACCTATCTTTTTTCTCGTTAATCATACTTGATAGCTACTGATTTTAAAATGCACAACAACCTGGTTCAATATTTCAGATATAACATGCACAAGACCATTTTTGATGAAAAAATTGACCAAAATTGCTCTGAAAAATGGAATTTTTGAGAAAACCTATGTATTTTGCAGTTGCTGTGGAAATCGGTCTAATTATTACAAAAATGTGAAAATTGAAACATAATTAGCCTTAAAGTTGTATTTCATGAATTTACATCTTCATTTTTGATAGGTTTGATATGAAATGAAATATGGCATCACAAAAAACACCAAAAATGGCTTTTTCAAAGTGTTGAAAAACCTTTCTTCCACGAAAAGTCAAAAATCGCAACTTTGAGTCTCAATTAAAAAAAAAAGTTTTCATCCGATTTTGAATCTGTAAAAAGTTTTGCGAGAAGAATGATGAGATCTACTTGAAAAGCTAATAAAATCAAATGTATAATCATAATCTCAAAATCACCTTTTCCACCTACTGTGAAAGGGATGTTTTCTTAGGTAGCCAGACTATGTTTGTATAGAGAATAGCTTGCTTAACATTAATATTGTATCTTATAGAAGATGATTACATTGTATTAACAACCTTAATGGGTCAAATTTAAAGAATGAAATAGCTTCCTGTAGATTTGTCAAAAGCCTTTGTCTCTTAGCTTGGTGGTTGAGAAGTATTAGTTTCGATCCCTGTAGCTCTATCGTCGTTGCGACATTGTTTTTAAATTTATAGACAAAGAATAGAGAAATAAGATGACTTTATATTTCATTAATTATTATATTTGGCAAATTAATAGTTTGACACATATTCACATATATACTGAGCGCCATGGAAAACGCATCACTTTTTTTTTTCCCAAATATTTTGGGGGGTTGGGTGGCCGAATGGTTAGCATGTGGGTTGTACGTGACAAGGAGTAGGGTCGTCTGTCCAACCTCGTGGGTTTTCTCCGGGTCCTCAGGTTTCCTCCCACTGCTAAAGACCCCTACGCTCAAGCGAATTATTGAAATAAAATTAAACCATATGTTAGTCCCGAAATGACCCAGTTTGTGTCGAGTGGATGTTAAACCCCATTTCTCTCTCTCTCTCCCAAATATTTTATTACTAGGTGGTTTTGTATGTATAATATTATGCAATACTATGAACTATTGTTTCACACAATGCTCCCAAACGCAAAAAATATTGGCCCGTGTGCACACAAAAAATTGCACGAGATGCACATGAAAAACCCAATATTCACGAGCAGCATTGTTTGTGAGCCCTTTAAAAGCATGTTAATGTGCAGTACATGAACTGTGAAACGTCAATCTGTCATAATTTGTTGTTGGACGTGTGAAGGAATCGAGCTAGAGATGCAGAGACTTACTGAAAATAACGGAATGAAGCCATGGGAATGTCCAGGGCTGGCATGTCTACACGTGCTATTGCCTAACACTTCAATTGTCATTAGTCCACTATTGTAAGGTTGGTGGAACATGTTAAAGTTACTGGATCAACACGTGACCGTCAACGTCCTGGTCCACAACGCGTTACAACCCAGGCTCGAGACCGCTACATCCGGGTCACTCATCTGCGTGACAGATTCCGCCCAGCGACTCGAACAGGTGCAGCAGTCGTCGGAAGACAAGGACCAGTAAGTGCCAACACCATAAGACGTCGTCTAAGAGAAGTAGGACTCTGTGCACGACGACCTTATGTTGGAGCTATCCTCAGGGATCATCACCGTCAGCGGCGTTTGATATGGGCAAAGTGTGCTCTTCAGTGCTGTTTCAAGGATCGATTATCACCGACCATCTGACAATCAATAATCGATAATATCGGCAAATTATTTTGACTTACAATTGGTTTGAAAACAATCATAATTTGTGCATGAATAACAAATTATATGCAAGTTTATGTTGTGATATCATTCTGTATGCATATAGAATTTTTTTCATTTATTTGACATTTGACAATAAAAGTGTAGAAAGAAACTGATCAACTTCGTTTGGAAGACAGTAAAATGTTGTTATTTCCTCTTCAGACATTTCTTTGCAAATTCCTTGATAAACTAATAAAAGGAAAGTACGTGTTTGACTTAGAAACAGACAAGACGTAAGAAATGGAGAGTCAAAATAAGGGGCACAACTGAATGTTACATGAAACCATTGGCTCTCATGACATAAGCGGCCAACATTACTTACCGGTGGCGTCTCGCGTGAAAAAACAAGCGTTGCGAAGAATACAGTGATAAGGATTATTTTTATGGACTTCTTCTTATAAGTGAAGTACCTATAATTGCGCGATAATTGATATTTTAAAGCTGTATCGATCATCAATTTTCAAAACGCTTACCGACAATTATCGGCAATATTGATATTTTCCGCCAGCCCTAATACCGGTGACAGTCAAGATTTGCTAAATACTTTTCGCCAAGTAACACAGTGTAAGAATATAGTCCTTGTGGCGAACCCAACAACTCAATATTTTGGTGCGTTTCTGACCATGTGACTTACCGTTAAGCGTATTGTGGAGTGATTTATGATGTACATGCATTGCACTGTGCTGTATGGATGGTTGATTTAGATTAACTGAAGCTGCGAGTAATGAAGTAATTTGTAAAAGCTCATCGTATATAATTTAAAGTTTGAATTTGATAGCAGCCAATAATTGATGGATTACATCTAAGTTATAGACGAAGATGAAATGATACGTTTAAAAAATTGTAAGTTGTTCATTGTTTGCATACATTTTGGCCCCACATTATGCATGTACAGTGCGTTAGAAAAAAAAATTCCGACCCTAGCTTCCTCACCAATGCTTAACATACCTTGTATTCAACTTAAATAAGTTACATTTTTCTTTAACATGCTTAAATCGGGATGATAGTGGCACTCAAGAGATTCACCGTGTTCCACCGCGAAACACTGTAATACGTTGCGAAACACCCTATTTCACGGTGATCTGGTTAGCTGGTGTTTCGCAAGCGATTCTCCAAGATTCCACCGCGAAACAGAGCATTTTTTCACCGTGTTCGGCGATTCCAGTCCCAAACTCCAGCACCGTAGTGTATGTTTATAGAAATGTGAATTACAGTTGAACTCTTAAGCTACTAATGCAGGTATATCGATACAAAATTTTATATTTTTCTGAATTAAACTTTATAATTTTTTTGCATAAATAGATGGAGAATTTATAGAAGACCTTATCTCGTCCGATGGTATGTATCTCAAAATATGACTGAATATCATTTGATGCTTTTACTATATCTGGGTTTTATAATCAACAGACATTTTATGGATTTGCAGTCTAATTATGATTAGATTAGTTTCATTTCAATTTGTTCTGAGCATCTGGATGTTCTGCTTAAATTCCACAAATTATTATACGACCACATTTCAATGTGGGCATACTATTATGTTGCCCCGTCCGTCTGTCAACAGTTAGTTTGTTAACTCTCAATATTTAGTGTTCTGTTACGGAGGTACCCCCTTCCCTTACCTGTAAACTTTGTTAACACAGTAGTGGAAAAACTCTCAATTTTATTTCATAAAACCTACCTGACATATGTACATATGGATTTCCTTTTTGCGCTATTTATAACTCGCACTTTCCGGTAATAGACTAAACAAGTCTACCGGAAGTTAAAAAACGTGTGTACTACGTCATCATAATGTGACTTCCTGCACACGTGATATAATATGTCAGTTTCCTTTCTCGGCGCGTCGAAATCGCACGTGTTTTTTGTGTGAACTTTAGTTTGTTTTCGGTTTTATGATGTCCGAAATTTCGAGTGATTCATCTACAACGATGACTTCTCTTTCCATTGCGGGGCCCAGTAAGATGCCTTCGGCTTTGGATTTAGACGGTGGAGCCGATGGATGTAGTAAAAATTTTGATCATGCGAATGATCGTGTCACTGTAGCGAAAGAGACAGCCATAGATGAGGTAAGAATTACTTCAAAAAAGAATAAATCTCACAAGAAGTCAAAGACAAAAGCTAGATTAGATGCTTTAGAGCTTAAACTAGATCGTATTTGTCAAGCGATCGAAGGTAATGGCGGCAATGTTTTGGCCAAAAAGCCAGTTACCTCTCCTGAATCATGTAGACGGACAGAACTTCGAGAGAAGTTAGCCCATGTTAGAACGGCCAATACTAATAGAGTTTTCTCTAGGAATGAAGATTCTTACGAATCAGATGACATTTTGTCTATTCAGCCAGGACAGCAAGAACGCATAGACTCTGACGACACTAGGTCTGATGTTGAAATGCCTATTTTAAGTCGTGAAAATTAACAAACGTCTAACACCTTTTCTGACAGTGTTCTGAAAAAAGGGTTATTTTCCATTTTTGGCAAGGATGCATTGACCAAAAAGGAGGTAGATGAATCTCAAAGAGAAGTTTTGTCTCAAAGTTGGAGAGCTGTAAATCCTTCTAGCATTTCTGCTTTTCCCGAAGAAAATTTGGGAATGTTTCCCATTGATGAGGAAACAAGAACATTTTTACAAGTCATGACATGAAAGAAGCCTGCTTAATTCAAAAGCATGGTTCAAAAGCATCTTTTGCTAAATCTGGTCGCTCCTTATATAAACAACCGTACAGAGCGGTAGAGAAAGTAGCATATAGGGGACAGCAGGCAGCTTTTATGGGTATCAGTATTCAACTTTATATCCAGCAGGCTTTGGGTGAACTCATGCAGCAATTTTTTGAAAGTCAGGATCTGAACTCTATAAAAGAGAACTTAGTACAGCAAGTACAGAACATTTTTGCTATGTCAACAAAAAATTTAGATCAGATAGGTACAGTGAGGGCTTTTCACCATATTATTAGACGTTCGGTAGCTATGACTGACACATCGCTTTTTGAAGTTGAAAATTCAAAGACTGTATCTAATCTGCCTCTTACAGGAGATGGTGTGTTTGGTCTTGATTTAGAAAAAACTTTGAAGGAGAAAAAGGATCAAAAGAAAGCTGTTCAAGACCTGTTACCTGATGTGCATCGTCGAAAGCGTAAGGGGGCGTTCGTTAGTGAGTCTTCCCCAGCGAAACGAAGCGCATCTTTCCACCCATCTACTAGTAGGGAAATGCATTTTAATACAGGGTCTTTTCGTGCCCCAACACAGAAGTTTACAAGTAGGCCTTTTGATAAAAAGGGATCATATCCTAACAAAGGCTACCATAATAACCGCAAACCTTCCTTTACGGTCGGCTCTCATAGGAAAGGCAAAGATCCACAACAATGACGAGGTGAGTGTTTTAATGAGGTGCCCAGAAGTACCTGTTGGGGGACGTCTTTCTCGTTTTCTGGAACAATGGCAAGAGATAACTACAGACAAATGGGTTTTATCAACCATAAAAGAAGGTAACAAACTGGAATTTCTTCAGTTACCTCCTTTCTTAGGAGTAAAGCACACTATTATGGGTGTGGAAAATTTAAAACTTATAAAAGAAGAAATTTCTTCTCTTTTGCAAAAGAATGCCATAGAGATTGTTCCAGAGAAAGAGAAAAATGTAGGTTTTTACAGTACACTTTTCTTGGTTCCCAAAAAGAACGGGGAGCTGAGACCGGTCATCAACCTACGGCCCTTAAACAAGTATCTCAAGAAAACTCATTTCAAAATGGATACTCTACGGAAAGTTTTGAATTTAGTCGAATCAAACGATTGGGCAATCTCAATTGATTTAAAGGATGCATACCTCCATATTCCTATTTTCCCAGGCCACCGGAAATATCTTCGTTTTTGTGTAGAAAACAAGGTGTATCAATTCAAAGTGTTATGTTTCGGCCCAACATTGGCACCTCGTGTCTTTACAAAACTTCTGTCGGTTGTAGCAGAAAATCTTCGCATTCAAAATATCAGAATGGCGTTTTACTTGGAGGACCTTCTATCGGTAGACAGCCAGAGGGAGAATCTTTTAATAAATCGAGAAAAGATTGTACATCTTCTTATTCGACTAGGTTTTATAATCAATCTAAAAAAGTCACAACTTGCACCATCCCAACAAATCGTTTATATAGGCGCCCTGTTTCGTCTAGACCAGGGCTTAGTTTATCCCACGTCAGAGAGGGTGAAAAGTCTGTTTTTATCTGTTCAAAGTCTGCTCAAAGATCAGTGCACAGCAAGGCATTATCTACGTCTTTTGGGGATAACAGCATCTTGTTTAGAGTTAATTCCAAATTCAAGACTAGCAATGAGACCTATTCAATTTCACCTTTTAGGTGTTTGGAAACCGGCAACAATGAGTTTAAATTTAAAGGTGCCTGTTTCGCCAAGTCTAAGATCACATCTGCAGTGGTGGTTACAGGAAGCAAACATTTTGAAGGGTCGCTCATTATGTCACATTCACCCTTCAATAACGATAACCACAGATGCCTCATTGAATGGCTGGGGAGGTCATGTCAACCATCTCTTTGTTCAAGGAGTTTGGTCGAAAACTCTGAGAACACAGCATATCAATTTTCTGGAATTGAAAGCAGTGTACTTAACAATCAAACATTTTGTTCCAGTTCTTATGAACAGAGATATACTAGTTCGTGCAGACAACACTACAGGGGTGCAATATCTAAACAAACAAGGGGGGAACAAAATCTGCACAACTCTGTCAGGAAACGATGAAAGTGTGGAATTTAGCGCTCAAGAACAACATGACTATACAGGCAGCTCATATAGCGGGGGTAAACAATTCTTTAGCAGATCGCCTCAGCAGGGGCAAAATTCTATCAACAGAATGTTTACTGAATCAAGATATAGTCAACATCATTTTCCGGAGGTGGGGATATCCGACCATAGATATATTCGCGACTGCCCAAAATCCCAAGACGCTGATCTTTTGTTCGTGGATCCAGCATCCTCTGGCCCATGCAATAGATTCTCTGTCCATTCCGTGGACAAATATTTTCGGGTATGCTTACCCACCAATAAGTTTGATTCCGTTAGTGTTACGACACATTCAAAATTGTCAGTGCGAAATCATTCTGATAGCACCGTGTTGGCCACGACAGCCTTGGTATCCTCAATTGTTATGACTTCTTGGAGCCCCTCCTCTGAAGCTGCCAAATTCAAAGATATTGCTGGAACAGAGCAATCCAAAAATATTTCACCCAAACTCAACAATGTTTCAGTTGACTGCATGGAGGTTGTCGACAAACGTTTTGAGACAAAGGGATTTTCTGCGAACACTAGAAAATTACTGGCAGCATCCTGGAGGTCGGGAACAAAGAATGATTATAGGTCAAAATTCAGACGATATGTTAGCTGGTGTAGTGAACGGGAAATTGATCACTATGCTTCAACTTTAAGCAACTGTGCTGATTTCTTGTCGGATCTGTACGATAGTGGGCTTAAATATAGAACAATTGCTGGGTATCGATCTATGTTATCAACAGCATTACAACCTATTAATGGGGTACCAGTGGGACAGCATCCATATATAATTCGCTTGCTGCGGGGTGTGTTCAACTCTAGACCATCCGTTCATAAACTTTTGCCAGAATGGGATCTTCCACGAGTTTTGGAATTTTTGAAAAAGCCACCCTTTGAACCAATGAGAAAATCTAAGTTAAAATATGTAACTTTGAAAACAGTTTTCTTGTTTGCCATTACAACTTTCAGAAGGTGTGGAGATCTTCAGTCTCTAAAATTAGGGGAAGGTAATATTAATATACACTCACGGGGGGTAACTTTTATTCGTCAAGGTCTTTCGAAACAGGACAGAGCATCTCATATGAATCCAACTATTTTTATTCCATGTTTTTCAGACTGTAAATTATTGGATCGAAAAAGAGCCTTTTCTATATATTTGAAGAAAACAGATTTTTCGTCAACAAAATGGGCAAGATCAGACAAAGGTCTTCTTGGGTATTATGCCTCATCATCCGGTAACGGCACAGACAGTGTCTAGGTGGATTGTTAATACGGTTAAAATGGCCTACACAGGTGATGTGGAGCCAGTTGTGCGGGGACATTCAACTAGAGCGGTAGGAGCATCTTGGGCTCTGTATAAAGGGGCATTGACTTTTATTTACATGATGTTAATGTAAATTTTTTACAAACACAATAACTGGTTAGTGAGGTGTTTGACTGAAATTTCGGCTAAAGTCGAATGGTTATTTGTTTAATTCCCGGCGAGTTTTTCGGGAAGGTATGTATTTTCTTAACTGTTGTATTTAGTATGAACAACTATAAGATGGTTCTTAAAAGTTTAGGTAAATGAACTGATCTGGAACCCACCGCCTTTTTAATGGTACTGCTTGGGGAATCTAGGATTAATCCATATGTACATATGTCAGGTAGGGTTTATGAAATAAAATTCAAAAATTTGATAAAATTCAAATTTTATGAATAATATACCTACCTGACATATGTACGAACCCACCCATCCTACCCCATATACCAAGATCAGTTAAACACAGGCGTTTTCACACGCGCCTCGTTGAAACTGACATATTATATCACGTGTGCAGGAAGTCACATTATGATGACGTAGTACACACGTTTTTTAACTTCCGGTAGACTTGTTTAGTCTATTACCGGAAAGTGCGAGTTATAAATAGCGCAAAAAGGAAATCCATATGTACATATGTCAGGTAGGTATATTATTCATAAAATTTGAATTTTATCAAATTTTTGAATTTTCAGTGTGTTCTGCTACCTTGGCTTTCTTAGTAATCCCCTTTTCTGTAAACCGATAAGAGGCTAGAGTTTTTAACCGATTTTTTCCCTGATTTGGTCATGAGAGGATGAACCCATATCAACCTTCTGTTGTAGTATTTAATGATGAGATTGACTATTATTTATTATTGTTATGAAAAGTGGAGAAAACATAAACCTGTGCAACACCAAGTAACATAGCTGGTTCTTAATAAATATGATTTCTGGAAATGTAAGAGTAAGGAATTTCTTGAATCCTTTATTGCAATATGTGCAATTCAAGGTATATAGTGGTCGTCGCCTTTAGAGGCTAAAGTTAATATCCGATTGACTTTAAATTTATATACAGTGTTTAAGGCCATGAAACGAAGAAGCCTATTGATTTTCAGCGATTTCCGATAATTACTGCCAGAGTTATGGCCCTTGATCACTTCAAAAAATCTTGTGGACGCTCTAGAGGCTAAAGTTAATATCCGATTGACTTTAAATTTATACACAGTGTTTAAGGTCATGAGACGAAGAAGCCTATTGATTTTCAGCGATTTCCGATAATTACTGCCAGAGTTATGGCCCTTGATCACTTCAAAAAATCTTGTGGACGCTCTAAAGGCCAAAGTTAATATCCGATTGACTTTAAATTTATACACAGTGTTTAAGGTCATGAGACGAAGAAGCCTATTGGTTTTCAGCGATTTCCGATAATTACTGCCAGAGTTGACTTCAGATTGATACACAGAGTTTAAGAGCTTGAGACGAACAAGAATATTGATTTTCAATGAATTTTATGACTTGAACAGCTAAATCCAAGATATTAAAAGTTTTGTATACTATATGTTAGCATGGGGCAGAACTTTATAAAAACCAAACAAATTCTAATGATTTTCTGATAATTACTTCATGAGTTGTTACTCTTAATCAGATTTTAGTGTATTACTGAAAGAAGTAAAAATATGCGACAACACTTGTTGACTGCCCGGACGATTTAGCTGCTGTGGGCGTATGTTTCGTTGCCTGGCAACCTATATTTAAAATTTGAATAGATTTTGATGTTTTGTTTTTTTTCAGCATTTGCACCATTACTTCGACTGAGTCCACTACCCAATGATCGTGATTATTATTTTAATCTAGATGATACAGAAGGTGTATGTGATTTGTTTGATGTACCTCTAATCATGTGAGATATATATTATATACCAGATGTGCCTCTCATCAGAATAACATAATTATCTCATTATATTACTCACACATTTCAAATGACAATTTATTGATATTGCACCTCTCTGTCTATGCTTCTGTTGACAATTCTTGAGATTTTAAATAAAGTTCCATTTGTTGTGAAGATCTTGGTCATCCCAATATCAATTATTGCCGATGTTTAGGGGATGGTGTTATATCTCCTGAGACCCATATCACTTTTGACACCACATTGTCGTAACTTCGGTAACATATATTGAATAATATCATGAAAATTAAATCTATCGCTATTAATTATAATTCATGTTCATATAATCAAAGAGATTGTTAAATAATATGTTACCAACATTTGGTTCTATTTTATTTTGTGTACCCCACTTTATCCTAATCTAAAGACACATGTTTATTAACCTAACAATTAAAACCTGTGATGTTGAACATTCTGCAAATGCTTTTGATTGGTTTCATTATCTAAGACATTTAATTGGTTGTCTAATCATGGTCAAAGGTATTATTATGCTGTCATGCTCAGAATACAATTGGACTTGATTGTGATTATTTTTACATATGTATACATATATTGCCATCGCCCCGTCCGTCGTCCACAATTTCTTGTGAACGCTCTAACCCCAAAAGTTATCATCCTATCTTTCTGAAATATATATGCATTATTTAGATTAGTGAAACGAAGAAGCATATTTAATTTCAATAATTTCCATTAATAACGTTTAGAGTTATGGCCCCTGTTTCACTTTGTTGAACCTTGTGAATGCTTTAATGCCAAAAAGTTAAAATCCGATATTTGTGAAATTTATATGCAATATTTAAATTAGAGAAACGAAGAAGCCTATTGAATTTCAGCAATTTCCGTTTATTACTTCTAGAGTTATGGCCCTTGTTTCACTTTGTTTAACCTTGTGAACACTCTAACCCCAAAAGTTATCATCCTATCTTTCTGAAATTTATATGCATTATTTAAATTAGTCTAACGAAGAAGCCTATTTAATTTCAATAATTTCCGTTTATAACGTCTAGAGTTATGGCCCCTGTTTCACTTTGTTGAACCGTGTAAATGCTCTAATGCCAAAAAGTTAACATCTGATCTTTGTGAAATTTATATGCAATATTTAAATTAGGGAAACGAAGAAGCGTATTGAATTTCAGCAATTTCCGTTTATTACTTCTAAAGTTATGGCCCTTGTTTCACTTTGTTTAACCTTGTGAACCCTCTAACCCCAAAAGTTATCATCCTATCTTTCTGAAATTTATATGCATTATTTAAATTAGTGAAACGAAGAAGCCTATTGAATTTCAGCAATTTCTGTGTATTACATGTAGAGTTATCGCCCTTGTTTTACTTTATTGAACCTTGTGAATGCTCTAACGCCAAAAGTTGTCATCCGATCTTTCTGAAATTTATATGCATTATTTAAATAAGTGAAACGAAGAAGCTTAATGAATTTCAGCAATTTCTGTTTATTACGTCTAGAGTTACGGCCTTTGTTTCACTTTATTGAACTTTGTGAATCCTCTAACATCAAAAGTTACCTGCTGATCTGTATGAAATTTACATGCGTCATTTAAATTAGTAAAGAGAAGAATCCTATTGAATTTCAGCAATTTCCGTTTATTACTTCTAGAGTTATTGCCCTTTTTTCACTTTGTTCATCCGATATGTATGAAATTTATATGCATCATTTAAATTTGTGAAACGAAAAAGCCTGTCAAATTTTAACAATTTCTGTAGATTACTTCCAGAGTTGAGACCCTTGTTTCCATTTGTAGAACCTTGTGAACCCTCAAACGGCAAAAATTATAATCTGATCTGTATGGAACTGTCTTGTAAAGGCCCCCAATTACCTACAAAGGAATAAATATGCGACAACCCTCGTCGACCGCTTGGACTATTTAGCTGCTGTGGGCCTATGTTTCGTTGCCTGGCAACCTATTTTAATATTAGCCCTAGCCATCAAGTTAACATGGCTTGTTTTCGCTACACAGTGTTTGATCACTGGGAATCGGAATAAAGACATTTTCAGATTCATTTGAAATCCATTCATTTATCTCAAGTAATTTTCAAATCTTTATTGTAATGTGTAAGCTTACTCATTTCAAAAACTATTTATTTGTGGTCGTGAACTGAAGTGAGAGTCTACATTCTGTATTTTTATACGCCCACATTTTCATGTGGACGTATATTGTCGTCGCCCCTGTCTGTCCGTCCACAATTATTTGTGGACACTCTACAGGCGGTGGGACGATTTACCCAATACACCGAATACCACCCGAATACCCCTCCAATATCACCACATACTACCCAATACTACAACATAATGGTGCCTAATGAACATATTACTAGATTTTGTTCAAAAATAGTGAGATATATCGTGAGAAATGTACTTCGAATGTGATCGAATGTCTGGCTGTTCCATTTGCCTCCCTATATCACCCAACTCAAGCAAATAATAACCCAATACTACCAAATACTTATCAAATACTACTTAATACTACCCAATATTATAAAATACAAACCTAATATCGTCAATTAGCAGCACATCAGTATAATTGCAACGAATATTCGATAATTTACACAAAATTAAAATATTTACGCAGTTATCTCCCTTTACAATCGACAAATAGATATTAGATTGCTACTCAGATTAATCACCTTGTTGGGCTTTACAGTTTGTTTCCAAGACAAAAAAGAGTTTTAAAAGAAGTTAAAGATTTAAAAATGCATTAAAATAAAATCAGTTTATAAAATAAACATCCAAGTAAAATAATATTTTAGAGGTAGATTTAAAAATGTTCATTTAACGGTCTCGTGCCCTACTCAAAAGTCTTCTTCTACTATAATTATTTCTTCATCCTGGTGATTTAAGTATTATAACACGCTGTCTACAAGTGCACGCATTCCTGTAAAAAATCATTTGGGTATAATATGTCAGGAAAGCACACAAATTTATCTTTATATCTATCTTTTAATGACTTATTAACATGTATGTCTTTTAAATGTTTCCGGTTCCAAACCAGTCACCCTTGAAAAAAACCCTCATGTCCGAATTTCACATTCCTCGAATATCGCCACTATCGAACAATTTCTATGTATTCTACGGTATATATCCACAGGTGACAATGTCGCGGCGATGTCATTACCACCTTAATGAATAGACACGGTCACCAGTTTCCTCCCACACATGCATATGTTTATATTTATTTTTTCATGTCAACGATTAAGTTATTGCATATATACTTAATGGACGATGTTTTATTTTAAAATTAACGAAATTGCATATGTTTCTTACAATGCACATATTTATTACAAATGTGTAATACTCTAATACATTCCACCTGACTTAACAATTAATCAATGGGGTTAAGATTGTTGATTGGGTAATCAAGTTCTGGTTTATTTATATTATCAAAGAAACCGACAGAGCTGTAACAGGCCGCAAATGATAGTTTTGATGAACTGAGAAGTGTCGTGTCGAGAATTACACACTGGAAAGAAACATGTGCAATTTGGTTAATTTTAAAATAAAACATCATGCAGTAAGTAAATACACAATAACTTAATAGTTGATATGCAATTGTTTTGTTAAAGCATTAATTTTTATACGCCCACATGGAAATGTGAAACTTCCAATCAGTAGAAGTTAGTATTTTTTACTGACGAAACGTTGGATAAAACGATGGTTTTTTGATATTGTATTCTATTAATTATTTTATATCACATGGAAATGTGGTCGTTTATTGTCGTCGCCCCCGTCCGTCGTCCACAATTTCTTGTGAACACTCTACAGACTACATTTATCATCTGATTGTTTTGAAATTGATATATGTTGTTTGTATTAGTGAAGAAGCCTATTTAATTTCAATAACTTCCGTTAATGTCTTCTGGAGTTACGGCCCTTGTTTCACTTTGTTGCGAGCCTATTGAATTTCAGCAATTTCCGTTAACTCATCTAGAGTTATGGCCCTTGTTTCACTTTGTTGAATCTTGTGAACGCTCTAATGACAACAGTTATCATCCGATCTGTTAGAAATTGATATGCCTCATTTAAATTGGTGAAACAAAGAAGCCTATTGAATTTCAGCAATTTCCGTTAATTACGCCGGCCGCCCGTCGTCTACAGTTTCTTGTGAACACTCTACAAACTACATTTATCATCTGATTGTTTGGAAATTGATATATGTTGTTTGCATTAGTGAGACGAAGAAGCCTATTTAATTTCAATAACTTCCGTTAATTTCTTCTGGAGTTATGGCCCGTTAATTCCATCTAGACTTATTGATATGCATCATTTAAATTAGTGAAATGAAGAAGCCTATTAAATTTCAGCAATTTCCGTTAATTTCTTCTGGAGTTATGACCCTTGTTTCACTTTGTTGCACCTTGTGAACGCTCTAACGACAAAAATTATCAACTGATCTGTATGACATTATTATGCATCATTTAAATTAGTAAAACAAAGAAGCCTATTGAATTTCAGCAATTTCCGTTAATTACATCTAGAGTTATGGCCCTTGTTTCACTTTGTTGAATCTTGTGAACGCTCTAATGACAACAGTTATCATCCGATCTGTTTGAAATTGATATGCCTCATTTAAATTAGTGAAACGAAGAAGCCTATTCAATTTCAGCAATTTCCGTTAATTACGCTGTGAGTTATGGCCCTTGTTTCACTTTGTTGTAACTTGTAAATGCTCTGACGACAAAAGTTATTATCCGATCTGTATGAAATTTATATGTATCATTTAAATTAGTAAAACGAACAAGCCTATTGAGTTTCAGCAAATTTCGGTTGTTTACATCTAGAGTTATGGCCCTTGATTTACTTTGTTGAACTTTGTGAACGTTCGAATGACAAAAGTTATCCGATCTGAATGAAATTTATATGCATTATTTGAATTAGTAAAACGAAAAAGCCTGTCGAATTTGAACAATTTCTGTAGATTACTTCCAGAGTTACGGCCCTTGTTTTAGTTTTTAGAACCTTGTGAACCCTCAAACAACGAAAATTATAATGTCATCTGTATGGAATTGTCTATTAAATTCCCCTAATTACCTACAAAAGAATAAATATGTGACAACCCTTGTCGACTGCTCGGACGATTTAGCTGCTGTGGGCGTATGTATTGTTGCCTGGCAACCTATCTTAAAATAAATACAAACAATCGACACTAACTAGGTAATTTCGGGACTAACATAATAGTTCAATATTATTTCATTAACTCCCTTGCGCGAAGGTATGTTTAACAGTGAGATGAAACCGGGGGACCCGAGAAAACCCACCTTGTTTGACAGACGACCTTATCAAGTGGTAGGAGACAGATGGGTCATTTTGGGAATAAAATATGGTATATCGTCATACTTGTTTTTCTTATTTTAAGTTTGTCGTCTTGGAAACCTACCGCAAAGCCAAAGAAGATGATTAAACCGTGTAGCAATCTAAAATCAATTTACCGGTTGTAAAGGGAGATAACTGGGTAAACATTTCAATTTTCTGCAAAATATCGAATATTCGTTGCAGTAATTATACTAATGTGCTGTTATTTGACAATATTAGGTTGTTATTTGATCATATTGTGTAGAATTTGATGAGTATTTGGTAGTATTAGGTTATTATAGGCTTGTTTGGTATAGGGAGGCAAATAGAACAGCCAGACATGGTTATCGCATTTGAAGTACATTTCCCACTATATAACTCTCTATTTTTGAAAAAAATCAAATAATATGTCTATTTTGGATCATTATGTTGTAATATTGGGTAGTATGTGGTGATATTGAGGTGGTATTGGGTAAATCGTGCCACCCCTCTACAGGTCACAATTTTTATCTGATTACAACAAAACTTGAAATATAGGTTTATCTCCCTAAGATCTCGGTTCCTTTCGATATTGGCATGTATCAGACCGTAACTTCATGGATTATGGCCCCTGATTGTATGCATAATTGCGTTTTTAGCTTTTGGACCCAATAGAGGTCACAACTTTTATCCAATTTTGTTGAAACTTGAAATGTAAGTTTATAACAAGATCTCAGTTCCTTTTGATATTCGCGCATATCGGACCGTAACTTCCTGAATTATGGCCCCTGATTGTACGAAAAATAGCGTTTTTAGCTTGTGGACCCTATAGTGGTCATAATTTTTATCCAATTTAAAAAAAACGTTTGAATATATCACCGTTAGACTCTAAGGGTGGTTGATGAAACTTGAAATGTAAGTTTATAACCCAAAGATCTTGGTTCCTTTCGATATTCGCCCCTGATTGTACGAAAATTCACGTTTTAGCTTGAGGTCCCTCTAGATGTCACAATTATCATCCGATTTAAAAAATGTTCAAATATATCACCGTTAAATCATAATTTTGGTTGTGTTCGAATTTCGTAAAAATCAGACCCATATCGCTGGACAAAATGGCCGCCCCTCATACACAATTAGTGTAAACATCTGGTATATCAAAGGTCACAATTTTGATCTGATTTTGATGAAACTTGAAATGCATCTTTATAACCCAAGGATCTTGGTTCCTTTCGATATTATGGCATATCGGATAGTAACTTCCTGAATTATGGCCCCTGATTGTATGAAAAGTCATGTTTTTAGCTTATGGTCCCTTTTGAGGTCACAATTATTATCCGATTTAAGAAAAACCTTCGAATATACCACTGTTACACCGTAATGTTTATTGAGTTCGAATTTTGTGAAAATCGGGCTAAAACTGTCGGACAAAATGGCCGCCCCCCGTATGCAAATAGTGTATAGCATCTGGTATATCAAGCTTATGGACCCTCTAGAGGTCACAATTTTTATCCGATTTTGATGAGAGTTGAAATACATGTTTATAACCCAAAGATCTTGGTTCCTTTTGATATCTGCCACTGCTAAAAGACCCCTACGTGCAAACGAATCATTAAAATGAAATAATAAACCACATGTTAGTCCCAAAATAACCTAGTTTGTAGCGAGTGTGAGTTAAACCCCATTTCTCTCTCTCTCTCTCTCTCTCTCTCTTCGATATTCGTGCATATCGAATAACTTTCTTGAATGTACAAAAAAATCATGTTTTTAGCTTGCCGTCCATGTAGTGTAGAGGTCACAATTTTGATTCGATTTAAAAATACATATAAATATATCACCATTACACACTAAGATCTTAGTACTTTTTGATATCGCGGCCGTATATCAGAACGTAACTTCCTGGATTATGGCTTCTGATTGTTCGAAAAATCGCATTTTTAGCTTGCGGATTCTCTAGAGGTCACAATTTTTTTTTCCGATTTTAAAAACCGTTTAAATATTTCACCATTCCACCATAATGAAGGTTCAATTCAAATTTCGGAAAAAGCGAAATGAAACTGCTCGACAATATGGCAGCTCTTTGTACACAAATTGTGTAAAAGTATGCAATACGAAGGTTGTGGACCCTCTAGACACTAGAGATCCCATTTTTATCTGATTCTGATGAAACTTAAAACACATCTTTATATCCCAAAGATCTGTCCCTTTTGATATTTGAGCATTTCAGACCAGAACTTTCTGGATTATTGTCCCTGATTGTACAAAAAAATCCTGTTTGGTTTTAGCTTGTTCTCTATCCATCTCTTGCAAAATGTGGGCGTATCCTGCCTGGCAGCCGCTGGTTAATTATTTTATGATTGCATTTATACTACTACTATAAACCTACAATCAAAACCTGATAGACTACAATTTATTAAATCTGACATCCATTTATGTAGACATTTAATAAAACTGATCTGTAAGATACTATAACTAGAAATAAAGGACAAATAATAATATTACTGACATTGAATGAGGTTTTCACAAAGGTCTATCAATGTGACAGCAATTTTTTTGGACCAAGGTTAAAGGAGCTGTCTCAGGTGTATTTTAGTGGATCTGCTGGTTAATTCTGTGTGGAATACTCATAGAAACCTGTTTCCTAGCTCCATGTAGCTATCTGAAAATCTTTGAAGTCCCAAATCCCCTGCTATTCACAAATGCCTGCATAACAATTTCTATATACTGTATGTATAGTGCTAAGCTGTTGTTGCAAGTACCAAGTCCATGGAATTCCATAAATGTGTCAAGTAAACCCTGTTAAACAAATTTAGCGATCACTTTCCATCGATACCCGGCGAAATCTAGGACTATCCCTTTAAAATCACTTGAGAGTTGATCTATTTTTGTAGCAACCTCAATCTTTGCTTTATTATATACCAGTTTTGAAACTGTTTATTATCTGATGATTCTATCAGTTTATTTTATGATAAGACAGTTCTAAAACTTGTAATATGATTTTTGTTTGCCTTATGTATTTTTTTTTTAGAAGTTTTCAACTGCCAAATGAAAGCTGCTTTTAAAACTGTCATTATTATTGTTGCCAAAAAGTTTCCACTCCAAATAGTCTGATTCAGTTTGTTACATAATTCCCATCCGTGGGCTTTACGGGTAGATATCGTGGAATAAGCTTTATTTTGAAGGTTTGATGTTTAACCCTTAACCGGTCATTGTCGATTATAGTCACCACAACAGCTAAGTGGTCGCGGTCGACCACAGCAAAAACCTTTTTGATAAGCCAGATTTAAGTATTTAGTTTCGTATTTAATTGATATGGCCACGCATGCGTGTCAGACAGGAACTTGTCTTGTCAAGGGCATTGAGAACAACATGTCTTTGTTCAAGATTTTTTGACGAAAAATGTAATTTAATGATGTCGGGGACATTAAAGACGCTCGAAGTGGTTGAAATACTTATGAATGATTCTGACTCGGATTATATCGACGACACCGAATCTGAAGACGATATTTCTGATGAAAAGGACTTAGAATGATTTGCAAATTATAGATCAACTTATCCACTATTAAAATGGGTTTGTCTGCCTGTCCGTCTGTCCGCCCGTCACACTTTTTGGGACACAATAACTCTCTGTCTAATTGAGCTAGAATGTTCAAACTTGGTGTAGGTGTCTATTAGGTCAATGCCTTGATGGAATTTGAAGATGAACATTTTCTGCTTAGGGTAAGCAGAGATAAGCAATTTGATCGGTTAATGCTTTGGGACACGATAACTTTAGTTCTAATTAAGTGAGAGTGTTGAAACTTGGTGTATAGCTTCATTATATCAATACCTTGACTAAGTTCGCTAATGAGCATTTTCTGCTTAGGGTAAGCAGAGTGATAAGCAATTTGATTGGCCGAGACTTTGGAACACAATAACTCCCCTTCTAATTGAGGTAGAATGTTCACACTTGGCGTAGGTGTCTATTAGGTGAATGCCTTGATGGAGTTCGAAGATGAGAATTTTCTGCTTAGGGTAAGCAGGGATAAGCAATTTGATTGGTTGATGCTTTAGGGCACGATAACTTTAGTTCTAATTAAGTGAGTGTGAAGACACTTGGTGTATAGCTTTATTATATCAATACCTTGACTTAGTTCGATAATGAATATTTTCTGCTGTCATGTCATGGCTGAGTTCAATGATTTACATTGATCGATGCTTTGGGACAAGATAACTTTGATTCTATCTGATAGAGAGTGCTGAAACTTGGTGTATAGTTTGATTGCTCGATACTTTTGGAAAAAATAAATGTGCGGTTAATTAATATGTGTCATCTATTTTGGGATTTCTGCGGGGGACATCAGCCTCACTGTTGGCTTGTTTATGGTGTCAAGAGTCAATCACTTATAAATTATCGACAGTAGTCGATTGAAATAGGCATACAAAATATTTCACTTTAGCATTTATTTAGCCTGACCACTTGACGTCATGACGTCAAAATGACATTGACCAATTAAGGGTTAATGACAAAAAAACAATGTTGACATTTTTTCTGAGTAGGTCTTCATAGTATGGGTGGCTATATTTGAGGGTAGCCATTTTGTGATAATATTCCAACTTATTTTTTTATTTTCATCTTTTTTGTAACGTTATCGACATACCAACTGTGATTTGGCAATGTATTAATATTGCCAGGGGTCGTGACTATATTTCAATTTTTTTTCCGTCACTTCACGAAGGTATTTCCAAGATGGCGACCATTTTAGGTGGGAAAATCGGATGATGTGCTGATTTTGATTAAGTAGTCGTCTTTGGTGTCAATATATATTTTCAGAGGCAGATTCCATTTCTGCCAGTAACAACTGTGTAAAATGATCACATGTTCACCTCATTTGCATATTTCCAAGATGGGGCCATTTTTGCGGGAAAATGGGATGATGTGCTGATATTGATCAAGTAGTCGTCTTTGGTGTCAATATATCTTTTTCTGGCGCAGATTCCATTTCTCCTGTTTACAACTGTGTAAAATGTTCAGAGAGAGAAATAGGGTTTAATGTCCACTGGACACAAACTAGTTCATTTTGGGACTAACATGTGGTCCAGTTTTTACCTTATCTAATTAGGTGACATGATGTACAAGGAAGTATGTTTACTCTTCTAGAACACTGATTATAAGCAGATATATATACTCTTCAAAAAAAAGTAGGCTATATTCAGAAACAATACAAAACTGCAGAAATGCACTGCTGTTTTTATTAGAAGTAACCAGTGTATGTTAATAACAGGCCAATTGCCAACACATGAACAGTTCATATGGGCGGCTTATCTGACGGCCCCATTTCACTCGCAAAGAGATACGTCAAAAGTGAAAATGGACTATTTTGATTTTTGTCTTAATAATGAGTAATTGCTCCACCAATCCTCAGACATTCAGCAATTCGTCGTGGCATGCTCCTAATCAACCGTCCAATCATGATTTGGGGCAATCTGACCCACTCTTCTTGCAGTGCCACAGCCAATTCTTGCAGTGTTGTCGGTTGACGTTGACGTCGACAAACGCGTCTCCCGATCAAATTAAACGTAACACACTAAAGCAAAGATACGCTAAACAGTAAATCTTATGCAAGAACAGATAGGAAAGCAAACATGGATAGATAAACCAGCACGCGGCTGTTTTCATCAACCCTTCCTTGAAGTGTCAAATTTGACAGTGAACCCCTCCCACATATATTGCGTGTCGAATGTGCAGTTCAGTGGTTCTGTTGGGGCGATAAGTTCTTCATCTGTGAAAATACTCTCAAAGCATGTCAAGTGTCCATGACTATCACAACCTGCATAGGTATTTGCATTTCAATATCACCTACTTTTTTTTGAAGAGTATACAAGAGTTCACAAAGTAAATAGATTTTGTTGATAAATTAGAATCTTCATTTCAGTGATGCTGATTGGCTGATTTCTTAATACCAAACTACATGTCTGTAGATTTATAGATTAAATCTTTACATTATATATAAATAAGACAGTTATACATTTTACTTAGCACTAGGAGGGAGGTTACCCTGTAAATATGCTGTGTATTATTATTATAGTTATGTTCTCTTATTTAATTATGTAAGTGCTGAATTCTAGGATTTAATAGAGGTTAAAAGCACCTGTTTGTTTTTACATGGTATACAATCTTTTGAAAGTTCATATTTGTGTAAATTTTCATTCAGTAAGTGAATAAATCTTACATATAAATAATTTATGTTGGTTTTGTTGCTACCTTAAAGATTCATTATTACTTACCAAGAAAATAAATGAAATTGGTACACTGTTATATTAGGCCTGCGGCCAAAATTTCCAGCGTGAAGTTCCGCTACATGGTCCTCCCAAATAAAGAAACTATACATTTTTGGAAAGCTTAAAACACCAGGAACACAAATCAATAGAGTTCCAAGCAAAAAGTCTGCACTAACTCGATTTAGGGCCAGATGAAAATTGTGATAATTGTCAAGTAAATGCTATATTTATACTAATAATTGAGAGGTTGACATAAAATTAAATATTGACAAAAACACCCGATGCCTTCATCCTATGCATGCAATATGCCGTTGGTTAAATTTTGATTTAAAGCAAAATGTTCAACCTTATTTTCAGATAGGATTTGAGGCTAAAGGTCTAACAAATATTTAACCTGAAACATAGCATCTACAGATATTTAGTTTTCTCACTAAAATAGATATGGCCAAAACTAAATAATACTGTAATGGGAGTGACAATATTGTAATGAAGAGAAAAAATATCAAATGGAGTTTAATGTCTTACTGTTCTGTACCAACCCTTATAATGAAGATGGGCGTACGTCATACATTATTGTTTGGTGGTGGGGGGGGATTGTACAACTAGTATGCAAGTGTCATCATAAGTGTGCAAGGAAGCCGCGGTGACTCAGTAAAGGGCTGGCTCACTTACTGGGCAGCCCAGGGTTTGATCCTAATCCGGCGTGGTTTCCCCTTGTCCGTGACTCACTAATCAGGAGGTCCGGGGTTTGATCCCTGTGTTGACCTAAACAGTTCCCCAAACTTTCCAGCATTGTTTCCCCTTGTCAGTGATGCAGGAAGTAGGGGGGGATGGGCAGCTTCTAGTTATTCGGATGGGAAATAAAACTGAGGTACCGTGGACAAGTTGACGTGCATGTAAAATAACCAAATCCCCCCCTATAGCATAATGTATGGTGGGCGTATGTACAATGTACATCTTTATTATGACGGTTGATTTTTTTTTTTTTTTTTCTCTTCATTACATTTGCTACTCCCTTACAGTATTATTTAGGTTTTGCCATATATCTATTTTAGTGAGAAAATTACGTATAGATGCTTTGTTTCAATTCAAATATTTGTTAGGAATTTAGCCCCAAATTTAATCTGAACTAAAAGTTTACATATATATTAGTAGAAATACTGTTTTGGGAGAGCTTATATGCCCGCCCGCCCTCCCAGATTTGTTGAACCGTCCATTTTTAGGGCAATGTATTTCAGTTTTTCGGGCACAAGCTTCAGAGAATGGAGAATGCGACCATATCACATGGAAATATAATTGTATATTTGTGTAATTAATTCAAAATAAACAACCATCACAGCTTTGTGGAAAATTCATTTTAGTTAATGATTGATTCATTCAGAAAATTTTGGTGACAAATTTTTCAGGCAAATAGGCTCAACTTCACCCCACCCCACACCCACACCCAACTGAGATTAGCCCCCTACACCCATGTAGCTCCTTACCTGTTGTTCAATCCGATTCACTTTGTTGAATCAAATATTGTTTAAACTATTGTTTTCCCTCCCATCCGAACGACTGGACATTGTCCTTCCAGCCCACTCCCATCCTGTATCACTGACAGGGTGTAACCGCACCGGGGTTGTCTTGTACATGTACATATCTAATCTGTGTAAGTGTAGTAAATGTGAAAATGAAATAAAAAGACTATTAAAGAAACCAAACTTTATGTTTATACATGTAGTGACAGTGATGATGATAATGACCAACTTTGATGACATGCATTTAAAGAGAAGAGTAACTGCGTAATTTTGATTTTCAATAATTGATTTACTTCAATAAATAATTTTTGTCTTAAAAAAATATTTATTTTTTAGCAAATTACACAATTATAAATACGGTTTCAGTTTAAATGTTTGTAATTCGGCCTTAAATATCTGAACTAGAGGTTTACAGCTCCCTATAGTAAAAATAACGTAGGGTCTAATTGAAAGTGTATGTTAGTGCGGGTTTATGTTTTAGTGGAAAAAATCATGTGGTTTCAATGCGATTTACAAAACTACGGACATAGTCTGGTCTCCATTACTTCATAGACATATTGCTCAACCAATGTCAAACATATCTCCTTGCTCATCAGACTAGGCGCTCCGCCCTTAATTTTTGGGTAAACACCCGCTCACCAACCCTTGCAGTCCCCTGTGACCCCATTAACGATATAAAAATTGGGCTTGTGTGCTCACACATGGTTTTGTTGTGGGTCTAGCCTAGTGGTCGCGGGTTCGCTCCTGGTGTTAGACGAGAAAGTTCATCTGGATTTTCTGCCGTGGTTTCCCCTTGTCAGAGGTGCAGGAAGGAGGGCCTGACAAAAGTAGCTGTCTAGTCGTTCGGATGGGAAGAAAAACTAAGGTCCCGTGTACACATTGGTGTGCATGAAAAAGATCCCTTCACACTTGGAATTCGATATATGTGTAGGCCGTAGTGCTGCTGTCCTGGCAAAATTTCCCTCACAGCACACTGTATGGCATAAGTCGGTCTTCATTAGCTGAGTCAGAGCATAATGGTAGGATGTTAAACCCGATTTCATTTCATTTGTTTAAAATTGTGTGGATTAGCTAGAGGCTAAAGTCATGATCCGATTGACTTTAAATTTATAAACAGTGTTTATCGTCGTGAAACAAAAAAGACTAAGAAATTTCAATGATTTACGATAATTACTCCCATAGTAATCGCACTTGATAACTTTTAACAATCTTGTTGTGTACTCAAGATTATAAATTTATTTTTCGGATGCCTTTATATCTTACACTGTGTTTATGTTCAAGAAATAAATTACTTTCGGTGGGTATTACCCTTGATCACATTTTAAAATATTGTGATTTCTCTAGAGGTTAAAATTATTTTGTTATTGATTAGAATTTAATACACAATGTCTATGTGATATTTTCAACTATTTCCGATAAACCGCTAAATTTATCACGGTTACCAAGATATATTTTCACAGGCATTTCAAGGGATTAAAATAAAACTTTTTATTACTGTTTATTTTAATCCCTTCAAGTGCCTATTTTATATTTTCACAGGCATTTCAAGGGATTAAAATAAAACTTCTTACTACTGTCTATTTTAATCCCTTCAAGTGCCTGTGCATATTTTTGTATAATAAATTTTTAATGTTACCATCTTGAAGAACTAGAAACCAATCAAATTCAAAATATTTCTGATAATTAACGGGTTGTTTTGTTTTTTTTGTGTTACTCTCGCTAAGTTCTTAGAGTCTCTTCAGTGCTCCCATTACCTACAGGGTGGTTGGATGGCCAAATGGTTAGCACGTGCACGTTGCATCATGGGGTCTGTCATTGAGTCAGCTGGCGAGGATTCGATTCCCCGGTTGTACGTGACAAGGAGTAGGGTCTCCTCTCCAACCTCGTGGGTTTTCTCCGGGTCCTTCAATTTCCTCCCACTGCTAAACCCCCTATGCGCATGCGAATTATTGAAATAAAATAAATTAAACCATGTGTTACTCCCGAAATGACCTAGTTTGTGTCGTGGTCGTTAAACCCAATTTCTCCCTCTCTCCCCCATTACCTACAAAACAATAATTATGCGACAACACCCTTGTAGACTGCACAAAGACTTAGCTTCTGTAGGCGTATGTTTCATTCTCTGGCAACCAATCTCTTAATTGGAGACAGACCACCATTAATCTTAGCGAACCTATAGCCTCTCTCTCTCTCCATGTCTTATTCATCTGTCGATTTGTGATATAAACATCTTCGAGCCGCCAAAGATAGCTAGCTTGGATGTTAGTGAGTAGGAAGTGAAATTTCACTACTTACTAGTGATGGTACAATTATCGGTTTCGCCATCGGTAATTAGCCAATAAGTGGCATATCGGCAGAAATCGGTATGGGCCGATACACGGCCATTTTGCTGATACTTGCGTAGCCGATATCAGCAAATACCTTTCAAATATTATTCAAATTATGAACAAATCATTCCTTATTTTTGTTGCCGGGTGTGTGTGACTATGTAGACATAATACAAGACTCGCCCATAATAGATGGTTGTATTTCTAATTCTATAAATAGAAAAGGCGGGATAGTGTCACGTGACATTTACAAAGACAGAAGCTATAACTGTTACTATGGGCCATTCTACAGGTGCAGATAAATTTAGGGATTTATATTGTAATCAACATTTAAGACCTGTTAATAAATCATAATCTGGATCATACAGCCAGTGCTCGAAATTAACCACGGCATTCGGCAAAACTGTGGTAAAAGATGAAGCAAACAGGACTACATTGGGTAATACAAATGACACACTAGATGGTTTTCTACACCAAAATTTATTCCTTTTATATACATAGTAAAGATGACACGTGAAATGCATAGGTCATAACCTTTAAAGTAGCTAAGTCTCAACTCAATATCTTCCAAAATCTTTAACATTGAAAACACGAATTATTTGTCAATTTAAAACAACATTGATGCTGTGATCTTACCGGAAAAAGATGGGCTTCTGATATCCAATATTTAAGACAAAATAAACATTTTACCATTGGTACACGAATCGTGTACCATAATGCGTTTAAGCCCAAGTTCTAGCAAGAGACTCGAGGAACGAGGCTAGACATATTGCACCAAACCAAACGGCGTATGTAGACTGGAATAACCAGACGCTAGGAATTTGCATTCGATTGGGACTGCTGGCTTATTTCACGGAACATAACTGATTTGAAATTAGAGTAAAAACGGAAACGATTGAATGTAAATCAGTTTATATACATTCATATTACAGTATTATATGAGTTGCGACCCACTTGTGTAAATAGCATACAGGAACGACTGGACTTGGAATTAGGTCAAATGGGCACAAAACCAGACCCAACTTTTCTACAGTTCATTTGCACTGAAAGTGAATGCGCTGTCATTCTTGTATTATGAAATGAAGCTGAAAATGATCGAAAGTAATGACACTTTCA